GTAACATCTTTCTTTTTTAACACTTTAAATAGGTCTTTTGCAACAATTGTTACTATTTTCATTTTAATGAAAAGCCTGTGATTCAAAGAAGCTAACAACAATCCTAAGATGATACCATTATTATGACTGTCTTACACATTTCTTTGCAATTTATAATGGAAAGAACCTGAGATCTGGACCTGGAAAATGTTGAGGTTACACCTTGACTTTATATGCTAACTACATGCATTAAGGCATTCTGTATAAACTCATCTAGTCTTAGAAATGGGAGCTCTAGTAGCATAGTGGCTAAGACACTTGCCTGCTAACCAGACTGCTGGCGGTTCAAACCCACCAGCCACTCCTCGGAAGGAAGGTTGGGCAATCCTACTTCCGTAGTGATACTGCCTCGGAAACCCAAGGAGGGGTCGCTATGAGTCAGGTATGACTCGACGCCACACAACAACAACAAGTCTTAGAAATACTATCACACAGCCTGACACAAAGCAAGCACTCGATAAAGATTTTTAGTAGTTGATAATACTGTGGTGTGTTACTGTTGTTGTTAGCTGCCATTGAATCATGGTGACCTTATATACAACAGAATAAAACATTACCCAGCCCGGTGCCAAAGTATGACCTTGAATATTTTGGTTAACTATCCTTAAATTACCTAAGGCACATTGTTTTTGTTATATTTACATGATGTAAGGCAATTTATGATGTTTGTTTGTTTGTTTATTGTCTTTCTAAGACTTCACCATAGCAGGCACCATGTCTGTGCCATATACATTCTTATGTTGTTGTTGGCTCAGTAAATATTATGAATCAAATATTATTGGCCATACTCTACATAGTATGTTCTCAAATATTCTTGTTTAATTAATGAATAAATCAATGATGGTCTCATAATGTTATTGGGATGAATAATGACAATGTACATGAAGTGCCTTGCATAATATCTGGCTTACAGTAAAAACACAATAGACATTCAGTAATTTAAATTCTGTTTATTTATATAACACAAGGTCTATCAAAATAAAAGCATCTATAGAATAAATATCAGGATAGAGGGAAGGGACAGTATTAGACTCGGTAACAAAATTAAAGGAAAAAGTATTACAAAGTCCGTGGTTGACCCAAGAGGAGTAACCATTTCTGGCCATTGGAGAGCTCCGAGTCAAGCTGAATAGCCAAGTTCACACACAGGGAACTGTTATGGGATGTTGTTGTTATTTTCCATCGAGTTGGACCCGACTCATAGTGACCCCTCCTTGAGTTTCAGAGCCAATATCACTGCAGAAGTAGATTTCCCAACCTTCCTTCCGAGGAGTGGCTGGTGGGTTTGAACTGCCAGCCTTCTGATTAGCAGTCAAGTGCCTGTGTCAGGTCTGTGGCCTCAGAGAAGCTCAGAGGAGGTCAAAAGGGTATAAAGCAGAGACTAGAGACTGGAAGAAAAGGAGGGACAAGACAATTGAGCAGGAAGAAGTCAACAGAAGATTACTGAAAGAATGTAGGAAGATGGGTGAGATTAGATTCTTAGAGACTTCAAAAGCCAAGGTGACATCAGAACAAATGGGTATCCCTTAGAAGTTTTGAGTCAATCTGTAATGAAACAAGTAATCATTTAATCTTAGTAAGCTTTAACTGAAATCTGAAGGGAAACAAGGTTGATGGCTAACAGGAAAATGCAACCTTTCCTAAGGCGATACTTCCTTGTTTGCCATAGCCCACCAATACCAAGTCTGTCTGTCTCCCTCTCACAAACTCGCACATGCACGTGTGCATGTGCACACACACACACACACACTTTCCTGTATCTGTAGGACTATGAAAGAAAAAAACATTCTTCCCTCTGAGCCCTGAAGGACACTCCCTGCTTCTCCTGCTATGCCTCGATTTTCTAAAATTGTTTTCTTTTCGTTTTACACATACAAATTATTTTTATGTAAATATTTATGTTTAAACAAGTTGAAATTAAACATTTTGCTTGGTATTTAAAACATAATGTGTAAATTATGTTTAAAAAAAAGATGTAAGCTCAAGGATAAAAGACAGGAAAGGAATGCATGAAATAATGTTTGAAATAAAATAGGACATGTTTCTTTCTGCAAATTTTCTTAAATATTTTTTATAGCTCAAAATGACAATAAGTTTATCAGTACAGCCAGTTCCCAACTGCTCCATCAGCTTGTAGTTGGGAAATTCTTCATGTCCTGGTATCAATACCACTTCAAGAGTATCTCAGTCTCCACTGAGTTTTATTTTCTTTTGATGTCTTAATAATGCTTCTCTACAGCAGGACAACATTGAATTTGTTCAATCTGTTATAAGTACATTTATAGTTTTTTTATTATTATTATTATCATTTGGATTATTCCCTGAGTTCTTCCTCTCTGGAAAAAGTTCTAAATTCCTGAAGGGCTGACTATCTAGTTTGCCCCTTTCTTTCTGCCAAGACAGGACTGGACACCTTTCTATTCGGTGATTTCACAGGAACTGAATAATGATTGGTTCTGGCTGAGACACAGCATAAAGCTAAAAGCACAAATTCTGGAATCGAACTGCTCGGGCTACTCCTGCTCCATCACTCACGAGTTGTGTGCCCTTGGTTCCTTGTTTATAAAACTTGAACAATGACAACAACAACAATAATAATAATCCACCACTTAGGGTTATTGTATCAAATGATTCAAACATATTTTAATAAAAATAATAATAATAGTACAGAATGGATGCTATGGAAGTGTTTCTTTTCCAGGATTGCCATTATTATCATTAGGCTTATGGAGCATCACAACTTCTAAAGAAAATTGAGTCATGATGTGTAGCTTAGAGACAACTATCATCCATCCCTACCTCCCAGGAAGCACGAGACCCAGCTGTTACTCAGCCCAGATTCAACTGGTCCCTGAGGCTGGTTTTGAATGTTCAATCTTTAAGTTCCCCTCAAGTAACTCCCCCAATATACTTCCTCCTCTTTCTTCCAGCAGTCTTCATCCTGCTAAAACCAAAATCAAAACAACTGTCATAGAGTTAATGCTGACTCATGGTAAACCCATTTGTGTAGAGTGGAACTGCACTCCATAGGTTTTTTGCTTTTTTTTTTTTAAATTGGGATTTTGGTGAAAGTTTACAGAGCAAATTCACTTTCCATACCGCAGCTCACATACACTTTGTCTCGTGACATTGACTACAATTTACCACAATGCAACAGCTCCCCTCTCACTTCCTCCCCATAGTTATCTCCTCCCTGTGTCCTTCCCTGCATCCATTCCTGCCCCCTGAGCTGTCTCCCTGTGCATACACAGACCTTTTATTCTCCCCTGATTGTTCTCGCCAAGGAGTGTATCTTACCTAGTGGATATGTTTACCTCATATGCCTGTCTTGAAAATCCATAGGGTTTTCAAGGCTGTGATATTTCAGAATCAAATTGCCAGACCTTTTTTTCAAGACACCTCTGGGTGAATTCAAACCACAAAACTTCTGATTAGTAGTTGAGCGCTTTAACCATTTGCACTACCTGGGGACTTCTTTCTCATTCTACTATATGGCTACAATTAGTCACTGGTCCTCTGGGTCATGCCTTATCTGTCTGCATTATGCACCGTATCACTGATAGATCAGAGGCTTCCAGCAGAGGTGATTGGGTGGATTGGGAAAGTACTGATGACTTTAACTGAGATATAGTAAATCAGCACAGAATTTAGAGCAGAAATGTGGATCAGGAGAAAAATGTGGAACAATATATGAGAGTGCTGAGCCAGAGGTTCCTCTGGGGCACCAAAAGGGGAGGCTAACAGCCGTGGTAAGTAAAGATTGGGCTCAGAGATGTATGAACCATCAATGGAGAGATATGAGCCACAGCCATGGAAATAGCCAAAATCACCAAGGGATTAATAAAGAATCGGTTTAACATATTCTTGCAAAGCAACACACTATAAAAGATGGAATAGTAAAATAGATTAAGGTAAGCCACTTAAAAGAGGAGGGATCAGTATACTAAATTCTGTAGAAAAATTTGAGAGGATGAGGAATAAGAAATAGCTTTGAGAAATCTCCTGCACCATGCTGGGTTAATTAAGTCCCTGAATGCAGAGGGTGGCCACTGGGAGGGCAGATGCTTTCAAGAAATGCAGAGGCAAAAGGAAAGATAAAGTTCAATGGTAGAGCAAAATTTTTCTCAAGTCAAAGGAAAAAAAGTTTGCAGATAGGAAGAGGATAGAGCTTCAGAAGTAGCAGGTTGACTTAGTAGAGAAGAATTACAGCACATGTAATAGGAAAGGAGAGTCATAGCTGAGAGGGAAATAAGTGGTATTGTGCCTAAGGCATTTGACTGCTAACCAGAAGGCTGGAGGTTCAAACCTACCAGAAGGAAGATTGGGCAATCTACTTCCAAGGAGATACTGCCTTGGAAAGCCAAGGAGGGGTTGCTTGAGTCGAATCTACTAAATGGCAGTGAGGTTTTTTGTTTGTTTGTTTGGCATAGTAAGAGGCTAGACTGAAGACAGAGAAACTTGAAGGTGAAAGAGTGGATGGTTTCAAGAAGCCATAAGGAAAGTCACACTTCCTCAGGGAAGAAATCCATAATTCCTTCAGAGTCATTCTGTAGTTGGAGTAGAGGTAGTTTGTGTAGTGATGATCACAGGGAACCAAGTCGCCAATTAAACAGGGGTAAAAACACTGAAAAAAAAAAAATCGGGATTTCCCCACCCCATATTCAAAATTGGAAAATCCTCTGAGGATAGATGTTTGAGAAAATGTGAATCTCAAACCCAAGACCTGGCAACATGATCAATCCCTCCCCAAATAACCTTCCCTTTGCCCACCCACCCTCAAATAACATGACATGTGAGATCCAAGCAATCCTTTTAATGCAGAACAGGCTTGGGCAGTGAGAGAGGGGTTCTCCAATTGTGTACAGGATCTGAGTAGGAGAAATTCCCAAAATAAGCTAACCCCCTCCCCTTCCCTTCCCCTTCTTTTCTTGCCCTCTTCTTGAGGTGATGCTCTGTGGACATTAGCAGGAGGGACCTGGGCCAGCAGCAACCCCCAGCAGCCTCTCAATGGCAGCATAGATATCTCCACCTGTGCCCATCAGGGCCTGCAGATTGGCATTGTGATCACCAAAACCCATGGCCTTCAGCTGCTCCAGTTCTTTCTGGTAGTGGTCTTCAGTGAGGGGGCATGGTAGTGAGGATTGGGCAGACTCAGAGCAGACATTGGCCAGTGTATGAAGAAGCTGAAGGACAGCCAAGGTGGATCGTCCAGTATCTGCTGTATGATCCTGCCCTTCACCCTTAGGTTCAAGGGCTCCTCTAGCTCCATGTGGTCTGCCTATGTTCCATAAGCAGGGGGCCAGTCCAGGCACCTCCCTAGACAGTATCTGTAAGCCCTGTTCTATCTGTATCAATGCCTGCAGTGCTCGTGGGTTGGTGAGGATTGGAAGTAGTGGCATATGATGTCGCAGGTGGCTGCCAGTTGCCAACTGGTGTAGCAAAGCTGGATTCTGCTGCAGGACACGCAAGGCTTTATGCAATGCAGAGGCTGAGGATCTCAACCGGCTGGTTAGAGTGCATTTTCCTATGGGCTGATGGCTCTTCTGGGAAGGAGAATCCTGGCCTAAGTCCAGCATGGTCCTATACCCTGAATTTGTCATATCTGAGGCCTTGGCCCTGGCCTGGGCAACTATTTTTGCACTGTTCTCTTGTGTCAGTGGTCTGGCAGGTTCCGAGGTGGTGGGAATGGCCATGGTGCTGTTAGTACTGCTTTGAGTATTGGCCTCCCCTCTCCAGGGCTCAGAACCTTGGATGTGGCCTTTGGAGGCAAACAAAGGGACCAGAGTGGAGACCATGAGGTGCTGGATGTTAGAGCAGACCGGACACAGAGCATTATCACCACCTGGCACTACTTTCAAAGCCTCCAATCCTGGTTCTTCTGCCTGTAGGAGTTCCTGCTGCCGTACTGGGCTCTGTAGCATTTCCACTGGTTTGGGAGCTGGCTCAGTTTTCTGTGCTGTCCTTGAAGTTTCAGGAAAGTGGCTAATATTGGCTGATTTTTTACTTTCCAGGCCTTGAACTTGAGGGTCTTCCAAGAACTGCACCCCAGCCTCAGGTAAAGCCATCAGGAGTTGAGCCAACTGGCCAAGGATGTCAGCCAGCTCAGGTGCTCTCCGGGCTAGCCGGCCCAACCTGCCTAACATCTTAGCCCCTCCAGCAGCCAATGGTCCAGAACGATTGGTGCAGTGGCCTGTGGGGTCGGGCAGAGTTCCGTGACCACCTGACCCTTTCAAAGGGGTCCTCACCACCAAATGCACAGTAGTGCCATCAAGGATGCCACGCTGGCTCAGTATGTCTTGATCCCGAAGGATCTTTCCAGTGAAGATGAGCACGAGTTGATCGATGTCACAGTGAAGGCGTTTAGAGATTTGCTTCTTGAGGTGGCAGACACGGCTATTTTCTGTCAGCATAAATTCCTGACAGTCCTGTGGGGTCTTCACACACACTCTGATGATGCGTGATGATGGCTCCCGACCAGACACCAACTGGTTGTCCCCTGCTTCTTCTCTAGCATGTGCCATACTTCCTCAAGAACAGGATGCAGGGCCACCTGAGGGCAGGGTGTAGCACAGGCCTGTAGAAGCCTAGATGTAGCACTGAGCAAACCTGGGTGCAGGGACTAATAGATGTCCAGTGAGGGTCCTCTCACCCACGTCCTATGGATACCACTTCACAATGTAGCCCTGCATCCACCTGGTTCCCATAGGGTTGGCTACTACCCTTCTCCTGGGCAAGACTTAAAGGATATGATGTCAGTGATGAGGTCACAGTTGAGAAGTATACTGGAAGCGGGGGAAGGGAGAGTATTATCTCTACTACCCGCCTGATGTTAGACTCTCTTTATGATTTGATTTAAATATATATAGAAAATTTAAAATGTCCATGTCTGGAAATATGATGTATTACCACTGTTTAAAATCCTACCATTTGAATTTGATAAATGAATATGGCTGATTAGAAAAGGAATTGATTTAAGAGGTAGCTTGGGAAGTGTTCCTGAAGTCTTTACAGGAAGCTTGTATCTCTGAGGTCCTCCAGACTGAGTAACACTTCAACCTGGTTCTAAAAAGACAGTATCAACTCCTCAAAGACTTTTAAATAATGTTGCTCTCAGAGAGATAAACTATGATCTCAATGTTCAGAACATCATAGGTGAGACAAAAGAAACCATCAGAAAGTAACAGTTGGGCTTTAGATCTTGATGAATTAGCAATTAATAAATTTTAAGTATTAAAATATTTTAAGAGACTTGTCACTTGGAAGGGGGGACACAATTTAGAAGTGAACACACAGAAAATGATTAGTCTCTAAGACATTGTTTTGACCATTCCAGGCATTACCTCAGGGTAAATGCTATCTAATCCCTGAAGCAATTTTTTTTTTTATTGTAAATATTGATTAATCACACTATTTTGGGGTTTATGTATGTTTGACCCCCTTTCATGATTCTAGAAATTCCAAGGACTACAAAATTAGGATTTGGCTGCCTAGAGTGCTACCTCCAGGATATCCTGCTAGACGTGGAAAACATGAGCATCTATTCCCCTGAGACTGCATTGCTCATTGTATTTTGATATATGTTATTGAACTTTGATTTTCCTGAATAGCATCCTCTGAGTTCCAAGCAATATAAATTGCAAGTTTGTAAGCTGATAAACTGAAGTTTGTAAGTTTACAAGACCTTCCCAGTCCCTGGGAATATCACAGAGTGAGTCTCATGGCTAGTTGGCAGCCATTGCACCTAGGTGCTTGCTTGAACAATTTCTCTCAGGAAGATCAGCACAAGGCCGGTCCCCATGAGGCGGAGGTTAAAGATGTCCCAAATGTCCAAACTACCGTGCCACTCCATCATTTTAGACATTAACTCCTCTTCCTCCTCCCAGTAATTTCCCCCATCTTAGGGTTCTCTATTTCACTGTAATGCCTCACAGAATACACAGGCATCCAAGAGTTCCTCTCATGTAGTCGTGGTGGAGGCTGGCAGACTGGCGAGCCTCAGGTCCGTGAGTGGGTCTCGAGGATCCTCCAAATTCTCAGGGTTTGATGAACCTCGATCAGCAGATCAGA